TCAGTAGAAGCACAAGGAAAAGACTTTAAAAATAAATTAAATTCTAGTTAACAAAAAAGTTAGTTGCCCAAGAAAAGACCTGTACATATGAGATTTCTAGTAATTCATGATTATTAGCATTAAAAAGATCCATAAATGGTGATTTATGACTAAATTTTAATTTTTATATTAGTTTATTCAACATTTCAATGGAAATGGGAAGTATTAATCTAGTTGTCTAAACAAAGTTCTCACACAATCAGGTAGAAATTTACACTAGTTATTAATATTACAGTACAGTACCTGACAACCACATTCTTTATTGTTTTCCTTATTTAATGAAATACAAAAAAGACTTCCATTATTACATTTTAAAAAATTATTTGTAACTCCTAACTAGTTTTGAATAGCAGTAATGTTTTCATTCAATGAAAGAAAACAAATGTTTAATATCAAAACCTATGAAAGAATGTAAATACAACTAAACATAACTAAAGGATACAAAATAGTAACAATTATATATGCCACTTCTGGGTCCCTAACTGAAGAGTTGTAGAGATTCCATGCACAAAAATAAAAATGATTTACTAATTTTTTTCTTAAAACTATAGTTCTTGCCAACAAAACTTCAAATTTTAATTTGTTCAAATTGTTCCAAATTTCCAAATCAATAATGTCTAATCAGAACTTAATCCATCGACATAGTCTTAGTTCTACTTCCAATTCAAAACAAGTAACCACGAAGCTGAGAAATTACAGTACTTTCTTGACTGTCTGGATGCCAAAAATAAAAGTAGCAAGAATTAGTTTTTAACATCCCTTTAATAACATAAAAAAGGTTACATAGGGATATATATATATCCCTATGTGTGTGTGTGTGTGTGTGTGTGTGTGTGTGTGTGTGTGTGTGTATATCCCTATGTGTGTGTATATGTACACACATACATACAATATTTAGATTTTATAGGTGAGGCCTTATTTTTTATACATGGTCAAGTAATTTTATAAAGTCTTGATTAATGTACTACTAATATCACCAATTTAGGAATTAATAAAACTAGTAAAATCAAAGAATATCAAAATGACTTACCTGATTAAGCCTGAAGTTTTACAGAAATATAAAATGAAATTCCTTTTAACTTTAGCAATGGAATAGAGGTAAAATATACTTGTAATAACTTATTTTTCGAGCCTATACTGTAATATAGTTTACAAAAACAGTGACTGTGGTACATCAGACTTTATATAACAGTAAGTGGTTTCTAATGATCAAGAAATACATTGGAAGATGAATGTCAAGAAGCCATTACTTCCACATAAAATATTTTACCACCAGGAGGCTTTGAAATGCAAAGTAAATCACATGTACTATTTCTGAAGATATCTGCCACCAGAACCATCAATCCACTGGAGTCTCAACTGCAATCTCAGCTCTTCTTGAACTTTACGTAATCTGACAACAGTGTACAGTTCTAAACATGTGTAAATAAACAGAGTATCAAACAGCAGAGAAAATTGGCTTTTGCTAAGTACTAACCTAACTGTGTTTGGGATAAAAACGATGTAATTTCTAATTTTCATGGTGAAAATATAAGCAAAAATTCTATTATCACTATTCAACATTTACTAAGCATGCCCTCAATGCCCAACTAACAAAAACTTATGAGAAGGTAGAAATTACATACAAAATATCAGATGCTTGAGCTGCTTCTATACTACTCCTTATTTTCAAAATAAGCCAAATTTTATATGATGAGTATATTCAGCTACCTGGTCAGTATAGTATAACGAATGTTCTATGCATGCACATGCTAACACAAAAGGTAAGAAATTCTTCAATTGACTCAGAGTTTCCCCAATATGGTATGTATGACTAACAACTGAGAGGAAATACAACTGAAACTGTCTGCTGAAAATCCATTAAAATCTAAACACAGAAAAATGCCTCGTTGACAGTATAGTTGGATGTGCAAATTTATGTAGGAATGTAGCCAAATTTTTGGCAATTCCCTCATGGTCTTAGATTTATTAACAATAGCCCTTTCTTTCTCAGTTGTAATGTTATATTTAAAGAACACTAATTGAGTTGGAGGACCTGCCTGGTCTTTAAAACAAATAGGCTAAACGCTTGGATATATAAAGGCATGGAATTTCAAATACAAACAAAAATTTGCACAAAAAAAGTATGTTCTACAAAAGCTGACATATGCAACTCTTAAAAATCAGTACCTCAGGAAAGCTAAGCATACTGTTTTGCATTTCATTCTACATTTGCCTTTGAATACATTCATTATTTTTAAAATTTTTCTGCAAAAATTGTTTATTTGGATCATTATTTTCTCTGAAATAAGTGTTATTAAAATAATTCATATGTTAACACATATGCTCTTAATATACTACTTCACAGATTTATTACAAGTCATTTAACAACCACATTTGATTCTAGTTACTCTATACTGAGCCCCTTCTACTCCCTCAATTCTGTGGAATGTTATATCAGAAAATGAAAGCATGGTATTTTTTTCATCAAGAGTTTATAATTCAATAAGAGTAAAGGTTAAACAAATGTATGCACTCAAAGGCACAAATATTCTACAACCAGCTCTAATTAGTGTGACAATATAAAATAAAATTAATTGAACATTTTGAAGGAAAAGTATTGTAATTTTTCAGGTGAACAATAATGAGAGGTAAAATTGACACAATACTTCGCAATTTACTTTGCATAATTCTCATGAAATTCCCTGCATCCTCAGAACACCCCATGAGACTCCATGAGTATGATTTCCCATTTTATTGATGAAGAACCTGATGTCCAAAATAAGGAAGAAACTAAATCAAATTTACACCCTACTTCTCAAAGCTAAATCAAAGCTGCCACTGGACCTATAAGTTCTTCCCTAAAAGTAATTTAATTTGATCATTATAACAACTCTATTATATAATAATAGCAGCTAATATTCATTGACTACATACTATGGGGCAGGTGCTGTTCTATGCTATGTTAATTCATTCACTCCACACGAAATCCTAGGAAGAAGGGTTCTGTTATTACTCCCATTTTACAGATGAAGAAACTGAGGCTCAGAGAAAATAAGTAACTTGCCCAAGATCACACAGCCAGTAGGCATGAGCATCATAAGTTAAACTCAGAGCCTCTGGTTGCAGCATTAATAATGTTCTTTACCACCAGCTTACTCTTAGGTAAGTTAATATACAGCAGGTTAAGAAACTTGCCCAAAGTCACAAGGAAAAATAAACTGCAGAGAAACAGCAAGAAAAATGTCTCCTAACTTTTCACCCTAGTTCTTTTTCTAAACATAGAATAATTAAAATCATTAAATCCAGAAGGGGCAAAAAGCTTTGGGACATGTAGGTAGTTCTCTGAAGCAGAATATGAGCAGGTAAGGACCACTGATGGAGTAGCAAGGAGAGGAGATTCCATCAGGCCAAAGAGGACTTCCTCTCCACAGACTGAAGGGAAAAGAGATTGTGATCAGGGATAAGTATATTTGTTATTCTGATTTAGGGAGGACGAATTCAGATGAGTGGAGAGGGAAGGCTCTAATTTAAAAAGTTAGTAAAAGTGAAGCACTACACAGATTTCTTTTGAAAGAAACACCACTAAAAGATTTGGAATAGGTATTGTAATGCTTTCAAAAGAAATGATACCCCCACCATAGCCAAAAGTACCTAGCACACAGAAATAAATAATAGAACCACTGAAAGACCCTAACTGCACATTTTCATTCTTTTTAATTAAGATGTCATGTATAGTTTAGCAATTTCTTTTCATTGTTAAAACCTTCCTGTGGAGTGGAGACTAAGAGAACATAATTAACATAGTATCATTCTCATTTTTTTTTCATACCATGATTCTATGGTGCTGGTTACTTTATAGATCTTCCTCAGAATCATGTCAAAATCAGATGAAGGACATTAAAACTACATCCCATGCGAATGGATAAACTAAAATACCAATCTAAACCTAAAGTGCATGTTAAAAGTCGAATTTGCAATAAATATGGAAAAACTAATCATGGCAGATACCAAAAGCAATGATGCCAAGATTTTGGTAAGAAGCACTTTTGAAAAGACATATTAAATGAGGAAAACTAACCTTAATGGAATTTCTTCTCTCATTACTTAAAAATAAACCAGGTCACTGAGATGAGCTTACACTATGGTATTTTGTTCATTTTAATTTCATTTTTATTTCATCAAACCATAAATTCCCATGGAAATACCTCAGACACGTGCCCACAATAATTGGAATGCCTAACATTTCAGCATAAGTACTTTTGCATGAGTTCAACAAAATAGAAAGAATGCAATGAGAGCCCTCCAAGTTTTTTACTTATGTCAACAGCTATTTTACGAGTATGAATTATCTCTGTAGCTATAAACTGCATGTGTAAAATACATTACATGAGTCTGTGTGAAACTTTAATGCGGAAGACCCAAGTAAAGGTCTGAGCTGTACACAGAAACATCAAAATAAAACTAAACTTCCTAGAATATAGCAATCATAAATTTTTTTCTTCCCTAAGCTATTACTGTTAAATATACCTTGATGAATTAAGTTCAAGTGTAACTACAATTGAAATATATGATTCAACTGAGCTATGACCTATTTTCCTCTCAAAAGCAAAAGGGAATTATGACAGTTGTGAGACTTCCATTTTTCCATTCCATGGTCCCTTTAAAAGTTATTTTATACTAGAACTATAAGCAAAGTACACTTAAGTGACATTTATTTGCTTTAAAATAGTTATTCATGCCATTGCTCATAGGACAGATAGAATTTTAATAGCAATGTATCAAATAATAATTATATCTGTCCATTTAGTTTTAAACTGTGCAGACCAAGAGGGATTCAGAAAGGAAATAAGCTCAACGTGTAATATGATACCTAAGTATAAAATTCTGTTATAATTACATGATATATTTACATACAACATAACCTATAATCAACATGACAAACACAAAATTAACCAATATATGTGGTTGAAAATACCCACCCCTAGCAGAAAGCTTCTTGGTGTTGATAATTTTGGCAGCATATTCTTGTCCAGTAGGAATTTTCATACATCTTCTCACCACTGAGAATGCCCCCCTGGAAACCAATAATTAGCAGGTCATTAATATAACAGATATAATATTCCATTAAAAATTTATAAAATGTTACCATTTTAATGGATTTTAGTGGGTTGTCAGTGAAGTACAGTGATATCCAGTAAATGAACAATTCTTCCTGGAAACCCATACTTTCTTTTAATCCATACTTACTTTAAAATAAAAGTAAATTTCATTTCACTGGGAGCACACGTTATTAATCAACAAAATGAAAGGAACTGCCAATTATCACCGTTCTTGTTTGCACATGAAATCTGAAAATATTTTACAGTTCACACTCACAGCACCAAATGCTCTGAGAAAAACCCTGCACAGAACAGAGCAGAGGAGGAGCCGCAAAAAAATCTGCTGCCTACTTGTTTTGGTAGGAAACAAAAATTAATGTGGTTCCAAGTAAGTCAACATGGCGATTATTTTCAGTAAAATATAAATCTTGAGCACATTAGTGTGGTTTAACAAATCCTGGTATAGTGATTTCTCTATGCATTGTTTTGGTCTGGGGGAGGGGAGAGATTTGAATTAAGCTGCTCTTCCGACATATTCTCCATGTTTTAACAGCAGACAATATATACATATTTAATTTTCATTACCTTTAAAAAATATTTACCTTTCCTTTAATTACAGTATAAACCAACAACATACATATAAATGCACTCCTTTTATCAAAGTAACAGTCGAAACTAGTGAAAGAGGAATTGGGTTTGGGTTCCATGCTACAAAAATCAGCATTCACAGCTTGGCCCCTAGGTTCCTTCGCACAAGTCCTCAGTAGGGTCGCCTGTCTCCAAGTAGTTCTGCCAGTCAGGTGAAGGAGTGGTTTACACAATGCTAGGCTACTCTTAAGAGCGCTCTCAGTCTCCTGAGGGCTTTTCCGCTGCCTATATAAATAAATCCTCCTAGAGAATGCAAAGATGCACACGTAATTCCTAGGAAGAAGGATGGTGAGCGAGTAATCTGGTGCAAAGAATAACAGTGGATATAGGGCAAGGGACTGGGTCCTGTTGGGTGGCCCTTTTCCTGGACAGAACAACTACTGTATGTGAAATAGACTCTATGCCAAGTAGAACTTTCGGCATCAATAAATATGGCACCGTCTGAGGCTGTGAGTTCTCATCAGAACGTGACGGGTCATACGGCCGACACGCCGGCTAACCAGGAGGCATCTCTATTTACAGAAAACATGATCTATGTTGCATTTTACATGGGTTCTAATTTCCTCTCCAAACACATATTACACACAGGCGCGCGCGCACACTTCTGAGGATGACAGCTACAACTGCAGAGATCGTAAATTCACCAAGTCTCTCAGTGCAGGAGGGTGGAGGAGAGGGAGAAGGTGGGCTAGGGACTATCAAAATGAGCCACAGTCAGGATAAGGGTCCTACTCCTTCTGTGCTCCCTCCCCTTACTAAGCACCTTCCCCAGAGCTGACAAACCAGGGACCCTCCTCCCACTCCTCTCGCCTCCCAAACTCCCTCTCCCCACGACGGAGGAGGCCCGTGGGTCTGGGGCAACGAGACCCGCCCTCAGCTGGAAAGGGGACGTGCAGATGCCGGGCTTACTTTCCAAGCTCCTCGAAAAGCTGATACTCGTCCGTGAACCTGGTGCAGGTGGTGGTCGAAGCCATCCTCGGTCCGGGCTGCGCCCTGGCTGGGAGTGCGACGGAGGAGAAGAGAGCAGACACGCAGCTAACCCTGGGACTGGCCCCGCGGCGCTGTCACCCAGGGCCGCCCTTACTTTCCTAGTCCGAAAGTAGCTCGCCCGCGAGGGAGTGTGCGCAGGGGCGGGGCGGGAGAGAGATGACCAGAAGGGGTGGCGTGGGGTCTCCTCCCCACGGTCCGCCGATCCTCCGCCTCCTCCTGCGGGCCTGGCTTCTTCTTCTCCACTGGACGGTCCACCCGCCCCTTTTCCAGTCCCTGTCCCCAAATGCAGGGGGTAAAGTAGTCAAGAAGAGGGGACCGGGATATGGAAAAACAGCCGGGCACGGGGCGAGTGGCTAGCAGTTGCGAAACGATCCGCACTGGGGCAGGAGGGGCAGAAGCGAGGGGAGGGAGTCCGAGGGGGCGGAGGCGGAGTGCAGCAGGGCCGAGGCCGGGGAGCCCGGAGCGGACAGCCGGAGCCCAGCGGCAGCTGCGGGCAGGCTGAGGCGCGGAGCCCGCCGGGGCTCGGGAGAGCGTGCGCGCCCGGGACCGGCTTCCCGTCAGTGGGCGGCAGCGGCTCCGGCGAAGCCAGGCACCGTGGCGGCCTCGCGCTGCTCACGAGCCCGCGCGGCTTCAAGACGGCGCGGCAAGAGACACGGCGCTCGGCTCGGGCGAAGCCTCCTCTGCCGTCCCCGGCCTCCGTCTCCTCCCCCGGCGCCTCCTCCCGCCGCTCCCTCCGCCCGCCAGCACCCCTCCCGGGCGAAGCCCCCTCCTCGCCGGTCCCACACCTCCCTCTAGCGACTCCGAGCCTGTCCCTTCGCGGATCTCTCGCTCTCCCTCCTTCGGTCGCACACACGAGCACACCCGTCTAGGGAGAAACCGGGTGGATGGAGGAGGATGTGCGGGGGAGAAGCCTGGAGGTGTGGGTGAATGAGGCGAGACGTCACAGCTGCCCATTTAAACCCGCTCCCAGAAGCCTCCTCAGTCTGGGACTGACTGAGCAGAAAGACCCGGGGCTGCTGCCCAAGGTCGTGGAAGCGCACGCCCCTGTTTTGGGCGCCGGGCAGCCGGGACTTCTCCAGGCCGGCTCCCGGGCCACGACCCCCGGCGTGGCCGAGTAAGGGAGAGCAACCACTTCTCCGCGCCGCTCAGCGCTGACACGGCGGGGGCCGGATGTGGGCAGTACATTGCGTTCAGAGACGGTCCCAGCCCTTCCCACGGCCTCTGGCGACTGTCGGGGCGCAACTCGGCCTCAGCCGCCTTCACGGCGTCGCCCGCTCCCCAGAGCCGGGCGCAGGTCGTCTCCCTCCCCCGCAGCCCCTTCTGCAAGGAGCAATGACGGCCCTGAGCCACATTTCACTTCAGATTTGACTGCCACCTCCAGGCCCACCTCCCCCGCCGTTTTCCAGGATGGTGGCTGAGACCCTGGCAGTCCCCAAAGGTCTTCGCTTTGGCTGTGAACGTTAAAAGAAGGAAAGCAAAAACTCCGCCACTCAACCACACCTTCCCTTCCCTTCTGAGTAACTCCCCAGTAACCTCAGTAAGTTCTGATAGTAAGGCGGGTTCTCGCGAGATTTCGCACTCCGGCGGACGGGGCGAGGTAGTAGGAAGGTTGGGCGTCGGTCACGCGACTTAGTGGGGGCTGACGTAATTCACATCACGTGAACGTGTCTAGCCTGTTTCGCTTTGCAAAGGGAAAAGGGAAAGAAGAGGTCGTGTGCGCTTTGCTTTCGGCCAGATAGTGGCAATTGAGCGCACTCCGTAAATGGCTATCTGAAAAACCATTTAGCAGTTCAGGAATGTATCCTTCCTTTAGCATATCTGCCATTGTTTTAAGTAGGAGGGGAAAAAGTACGCATTATATTTAAAATAGGTAAGTTATTGCCGATTGCTAGAACAACTTCTGGGCCCTCCAGTTCTCTTTAATAATACTATGCAATTACAAATTTAGATGCAGACCGAAAACAGCGTTATGGAAGAGCTTTTTCAAATTATTGCCTTTTGTTCCACAGCACGGAACTATAAAAACCTTGCAATCCTAATGCTAATTTGCTCGTCTTATTACTTCATGGACTTAAAATTTCACAGCTGAAAGATAAAAGATAACTTAAGATTTAAAGGCGCTGCTGTGTACTACCAGAAGCTGCTATTAATTAATGTTACTTTGTGGTCATAGATAATCCCAATTCCTTTTTTTCCTGATCTGAGGGACACGTCTGCCAATGACTGAGGTTTTACCGAAGTACTAAAAATGTTCACAAATTTTAACGTTTATTACAACAAAATTGAAGTTCGTATGTGTTTTGATTTCCAGCCATAAAAGGCAAGGAATAACTTTGTGTAAAATGTGCTATAGAAAATGATGATACCAAAAACTGCGTAAAAGAAACATGGTCTCTAAATATTAATAATTCGGCTACAAATTGGAAAAAAGAGAACAATTTGGTCTTGGTGAAAGATTTTTAGTATCTGAACTATTTACCAATGTGGCTCCAAGGTGATAATGAAATAATATTCCTCCCTGAATCTAAAAATGAAACAGAAAAAGTAAAATTGAAACAATAAATAAAGATAATATAAAAGTTTACATCAGGGAAGAAAATTATTTCTTAAATATTCAAGCAATGAAGTCTACATAATTACTGTATTTATCTCAGTTATTTAAACTACCAATAATTGTAAATGGTTTTAACTGTGCAGTACAATAAGGAAACATAACTGAGTTTTAATACTAATATATTATTAGACAATAATGTACATTTTTTACAGCAAACACTGCTTAATCTGTAGTGCTCTTTCTTTGATTTATATTTTAGACTAATTAAAATATTTCTCTTATTTGAACAAATATTTAGTTATTTCTGAAGTTTGAACCTCCTTAAGAAAGTAGTCAGATTGGCTGGCGCAGTGGCTCACGCCTATAATCCCAGCACTTTGGGAGGCCAAGGCGGGTGGGGGTGGATCACCTGTGGTCAGGAGTTCAAAACCATCCTGGCAAACATGGAGAAACCCTGTCTCTACTAAAAATACAAAATTAGCCAGGCATGGTGGTGCATGCTACTTCAACATTATTTCAGGAATAGCTACAAAATAGAGTTAAATTCTGAAAAGTGTAGATCTATAAACAGAATAACACTGGATGTTAGTGCCAAATGTATTTACGTTTCATTATACATGGCTTACTAACTGCATGTCTGATGAACATGCAGTTAATTAGAACAGGCAGTCTGATGAACATGGTAGGGGAAGTTAAGAGGGAGAGTTAGTAAAGAAAAATTAAAGTTGTTAAAGATAATGAGGCAGGCTTTATTCAAGGGGGTCCATGGTGACTGGAACCACTGCAACCAGGTCTTGCAGGATGAGAGAGAGATTGGACTCTGTTCCAACTCTTATAAGGTCAAGTGGGGATTTATAAGCAAGGAGCAGGGTAAAGGGTTGTGGATATAAAATAACTAAGTATTCTCTCTCTTTCCTCTTCAGCAACTTGGAATTTAAAAAATGTAAGTCTTCAGTAGTTTCACTCAGAAAGGACAAGTTTCTAATGTGGAAGGAAACAAAGGCAGATATTAACAGATCCTAACATTCATTGATTTCCCTTGCTACAAAGTTATAAGATAAGAAAACAATGATAATATAGCTCCCCAAATTGCAAAGTCCATCAGTAAAAAGCAGATTCCTGTGAAAATTTTTACAGACACTGTGTTGAAGCCATTCTTCACTGCAGATTTGGAGGGTAGGAGAAAAAAGCAACAGCAAGTTGCTGCCTTTCCAAACTATGGTAACTAAACCATATAGAGCCAGACAGTCTACTGGTGAGCAGATAATCTATCTACCAGACCATCCATCAGTGCAAGATGAATTTGCAGATAAGGAATAAATTATTCATAAAAGCAAAGCTAATAACAGAAAATATTTTGTTTCATGAGCTGAAAGATTTTTTTTTCCAAAAATAAAAATAAATGGACAAATAAATAAGAAAATAAGTGATATCTATACAATGAAGAAATGTCTTTTTTCCATTACTTCCAAGTACATTGGTCAGCATGCTTGACCCTCCATGAACATACATGTATCCCTGACACACTGCTAAAAGAATTACAGTAGGAAGTTACATTAATAAGTTGTATAATTCACAAGGACTATATAAAAGGTTATGGCATCAGTAATCAAATAAACAGATTTTGACTCTTTTGTGTACTTGTAATGATTTTCGCTGACTTTCAACTGTTGCAATTCTTATTACACTGGATTGTAATTAGACTGTCAGGCCCTTCCTGGCAGGGACTGTCATTCAGTCCCCCCACCTACAGCCATAGTATAGGGTTTTTCCCACAACAGGTGCTCAAAAATGTCTTTTTTTTAAAAAAAAAATATGAATATATGGTATTAACAGTCTTGTCTTTCAAAATATTAAAGATGCCGAATTTTTAATAGGGTACAATGAGGCCTCTGTTTTTGCTATATTTAGTAGATTCTTTATAATTCTGAAGTAACTTGACTTCTCTGCATAATTTAATACTCTTGACCTGAAATTATCTCTGTTGGTTTTCATGTGTGGTATCACATTTTCTATTCACAACACCTCACCCATTCCACAACATTTCTGCCTCTTTTCTTCAATATCATTCCTGGGCTCTTTTTTCTCTGCCTTTATGGTAAATGGTAATGCTTTAACCTAGGATTTCATCTTAGGTTGCCTTTTTTCTCATTTTACACACCTTTCCTAGGTTGCCTTAATAACTCTTACTGTGTTAATCACCATCTGTCTTAAATTTAACTCTCTAGATGTAGACCCTAAGACAAGAATGTATGGAAAAGGGATTTATTGAGGTAGTGTTTCCAGGGACAAGGATAATGTTAAAGAAAAAAAAAATCATGTAATGACACTTGCTGAAGATTAGTAAGAGATTTTATTCAGGCTATCACAGTAGGTATAGTGATTACTGCAAGGGAGTTTTGCAGTAGGGGAGAGAGATTGGGCTCAACTTCAAAAGCAAAAAATAGAAAAAGTGAAACCTTATATTTAAGGAGTGGGAGTGGAGAAAGGTGGGTGAATGGAAAGTTTCAAAGAGGGAACTTCTGTGGTAAGAGGATAGGCTGGCTAAACCTACCTAACAAGATTCTCAATGAAGGCAAGAGTCTGGATAAACAAACTTAGCAGGATTCTTAATAAAATTGGGCTGATGCAAAGATTTGACATGGAAATTCAAATATCGAGGGGAAGGAAGAGAATTGAGAGAAGCCTAACTAAAATTTGGTCAAGGAGAGACTCTTTGTCAGTACAGAAATAAAGAACATGGGACAAAAACAGTGCAAAAACAAAATGCAGCATGTGTCTTCAAGCAAACTCTCAGCATCACCCTTATTTTCAGGGAGCTTTAGAGCATATGTTATACCCAGTTTTGTTCCCCCTCAAGGCAAGGGCTTTTCTGTTCCTTCACCAGTCACTCATTGATCACCAGCAACAGAGGAGGAAACAAAGAGACATAAACTCCCTTGGGGCCAGGGTTAGGCCCTGCTTCCTGGTGTGCTGAACAGCTCCAGTGGCTCCAGAGTATGCCATGGAGGAAAAAGTCACAGGTAGAGGCTGTTACAAGAAAAGACTGCATAAGTGGGGTATGCTGGGGTGTGCACACAGAAGTAGGCCATGGGCACAGAACTGGAATTCCAGAGAATGGGGAAGCACCAACAGAATCAGCTGGATACCAAAAATGCTAATGACCCTGTAATCTCTGTAGCAAAGATCTTTCTGAGGTTCAGACTTTTATTTCCAGCTCCCTACAGGAAACTTCCTGTTGGACATTGCACCTCTGATTCAATATGTCTAAAATTAATATGTCTTCCTTCTACAACTGCACCTCCTCCATATCTCAGTGAAATTTCACGGTCATCCTACAATCAATCACAAGTCCATATATCTCATAACATTCCCACTGCAAATGCCTTAGTTTAGGTCACCATCGATTCTCACTTGGATACAGCCATGACATCACCCTTTCTGGGGAATTTGTACTAGAGAAATCTAACATGTCTTTTCTCAGAATAGATTTCATTATTAGTTCCCCATATATTCATAGGAAAAAAAGTTCAAAAAGTCTTTAATACACCCTACCAGGCATTTTGAAGTGTGGGCCCTGTTTTGTTTCATACTCATTCCTTGTACCCACACATACCCGAACTCCTAAACATTTCTCGAATCTAGCCGTTTCTCATCACCAGCATTCTAGATCAAACTGTTGTCTTCTCTCAACCAGTTAGCGGAAACAACCTCCTAACTGCATTAATAGTTAATTAATAGTGCTCTCTTCCCTCTCCTACACACAGCTGAGAGAATCATCTTTTGAAAATAAATTTAATCCCATCATTGTTTTGCTAAAATTATGTCTCCAGTGATCTTGAAATAAAGACCAAAATCTATCATGGTTTAAAAAGCCTTACATGATCCTCTAATATTATTATACTTACTATGATTAGTATTTTAACCTGTCTGAAAATTATTTTTTTGAATGATGTGAGGCAGGCAAGTATCTACTTTCT